GTTCACCACAGGTGCACACCATTCATAAGCCTCAAGAATAGAAAGGCCAGATTAGACTTTGCCAAAAAAAGCCAGCCCAGCCCAAATAACTACACGAAACCCTAACCCAAAGGAAGTAACGCACAAAGTGCAGTGATCAGTAGTAAGTAAGGCACAGAGTGCAGAGGCCAGTAGCAAGAAACATACATAATGCAGAGGTCAGTAGTAAGTAACGCACAGAGTGCAGTGGTTAGAAAGAGGTAACGCACAGCGTGCATCGGTCAAAAGGAGGTAACGCACAGAGTGCAGCGGTCAAAAGGAGGTAAAGCACAGAGTGCAGTGGTCAGAAGGAAGTAACGCACAGAGTGCTGTGGCCAGAAGGAGGTAACACACAGAGTGCAGAGGTCAGAATAAGGTAACGTACAGCTTGCAGCAGTCAAGAGGTAATGTGCAGCGTGCAGTGGTCAGAAAGAGGTAACGCACAGAGTGCAGCGGTCGGGAGGAGGTAACGCACAGAGTGCAGCGGTCGGGAGGAGGTAACGCACAGAGTGCAGCGGTCAGGGAGTAAGGCACAGAGTGCAGTGGTCGGGAGGAGGTAACACACACAGTGTAGCGGTCAGGAGGTAATGCACAAAGTGCATCGGTCTGAAGGTCAGTGGCCCCCAAAACCCCCAGCATTCTTAAGAGCCAGTAGTTAAAAGTTATAAGAGGCTACCTCCTAGGCATACAGTACCTGTTTTTAGTATACATTATAGTGAAAGCAGGTACTGTATGCCTAGGAGGCACAAATCAGACACATACCTTCTTCTCCCTCCGGTGCCAGCTCCTCCTTGCCCAATGCCCCCTCTGAGTCCATGCCACTGCTGGCGGCGGCATGTGTAAGTGTCACCCTGGGCAGGCTCCCTCTTCTCTCTCCCCCTTTCTCTCTCTGCCGGAATTGTGGCTTTGGAGGCGGGAACCTCCGGAACGCCAGGGCCTCTGCTAGTCACCGCAGTACTAGATGGGGGAAACCTCGGGCAGTCTAGCCCGTGCAGAAGGAGGGAGCAACCATTGTGTTGAGGGGGGTGGGGGGAGTTGGGTGCGGCGTTTCTAGTTTCCCGAATCCGCCACTGCTTCACTTAAAGTTAAGCTGCAAAGGTAAGTAACGCAGCTGCTAGGCCCCCGGGAGGGCGTGTCCTTAGGCGACCACCTAACTCACCTAATAAGAGATCGGCCTCTGTGGACAATGACCCCAAACATACTGCAAAAGCAACCCAGGAGTTTTTTTTAAAACAAACAAGTGGAATATTCTGCAATTGCGGAGTCAATTACCTGATCTCAACCCGATCGAGCATACATTTCACTTGCTGAAGACAACACTTAAGGCAGAAAGACCAAAACTACAAGTGGAGACAGCTCCAGTAAAGGCTCAGCAAAGTATCACAAAGGAGGAAGCCCAGCGTTTGGTGATGTCCATGCATTCCAGGCTTCAAGCAGTCATTTAAGAAAAAAGAGATTGGTGTTCCTACCTGGAGATCCGACTAATTATACGCCCTAATACAGGTTTGCATATTTGCTTCTATTAGACCTATCCGTGACCAAACAATCATGCAAAAATTGTTTATGAGGATCGATCCACAAATATTTATGTATGTTTGTAACCTAAGAGTTTTTTAATGGTGAGAGATGGTTTGAAGGTGATATCTCTATTACATGTTATTTCTATGAATTTTTCTAATAAATTTAACTTTTTTGCATACTAGCTACTTGTCCGGATCCCTTAGTTGACCGCTTTTGACTTGTTACCTTTTAACGGGTTAACCCCCCTCTTTGTTTTTCAAGCAGTCATTGCCTGCAAAGGATTCTCAACAAAGTATTAATCTCCTTCTACAGTATGCTTTACTTACTTGCAGGATTTGTATATTTACTTCCTAAAAAGTTTACTGCAGGATTCAAGCTGTCTAGGTTACCACCATAAACTTTCTTTCATGGGCATGGGACATTTTTTAAATATAAAATAGTAATCACAGTTCTAATACACAAAATAAAGATTCCTAAACATTTAATGAGGCAGATCAAAGTCCAGACACTATGTGCAATGTACAGTAACCCCAGAAAATGATATGATCTATACTTAGATTTGACCATAAAGCTGTGCTAACTGTCTTAATGGTCCAGTGTTGCTCACAAAGCCTAAGCATCTGGTAATATGATTTCTGTCAAAGGGAAGGATCAGAGTTCAGATTTACTGATCCTCCTTTTCTTTAGAGATCATGTGACTAAGGGGTCTATTCACGAAGCTGCCGAAGGATCTAGCCGTATCTTCGGCCGATCCTTCGGCTAGCTTCGGTTACGGGAGTCCATCGGTTAATTCGAACCAAGAGCCTGCTGTACGGGCTATTCACAATAGCCCGTACAGCTCCCGATCATGGCCGAGCGGCTCAGCCGAGCCGAACGCATATGTATCGGCTCGGCTGAGCCGTGCTGAAAGCCGAAGCTTTTTTTTTTTCTTTTTTTTTGACAGCAGCAGAGCCGACGGACAATAGGAAACTATTGTGCGGAGCTAGCTGTAACTGCTAGCTACGCACAATCGTTTGCTATTTACTTTTTTTTACTTTTTTCACTATCGGTCATTCACTTGGCTGCCCTCGGCAGCTTCTTGAATAGACCCCTAAGTGTCAAGGCGTTCACACATGAAGACAACACTGAGCCCCCATTCACACGTTTCAGCCATTTCCTGGCTATTTTGAAGCTTTTTTTTTACTTGTTTTTTCAAGCTTCAGACATTTTTGTTTTGGCCAACAGAAAGCAGTATCATCTGTGAGATCCTATTTTGCTGTCCTTTTATCTGATTCCTGGTTTTTGTGTTTTGGTGCCTTGTGCTATCGAAGCTCCCAATCTGGGAAAACTTCACTCCCAATTTTCTTCCAGGCCCTAGATGTTCTTGTGGGCCCTCACCAGATGGATGAAAGTCTCCACATCCAGCTGCACACTCCTGAAATCTACATTTTGTTCAGAGGCCTGAGTTTGCTAGGAGTTGTTAGACATAAAAATGCATGGAAAAATGTGCTAAGATGTTTGCGTTGTGCACTTTCAAGCACTCCATTGAAGTCTATGAGGCCAAAAACACACATGATTCTACGTGAACAAAGGGATGTGTATGTTTTTTTGCATGGCAAGGTTTAAACGGGCTCCTTTGAATATAATGGGAGTCTTCATGTTGAGCCCCATCATACTTTGGGAAATGCGTGACAAATTGCTCAGGTGCGAATGGGGGCTGAAGGTCTCCTAGAGCAGTAGTTTCTTCAGAAAAGGTACCTAGTATATTTAACACCTTTGTTCTTTATTTATCCATCTCAGCAAGACTAACATAGTTTGATGTTTATATTTGAATATACAGTATATGTGCAATAAGTCAGTCTTTAGCTGCTGTACTGTGCACACAGTCATTGCACTATATTCTGCTTTATGAAATAAGCTTGAATATGCATTGTGCCATGATTGTGATTCATATACATGCATAGCCTGGTTTTTGATTGTCATGTTCTGGAATATGTAAAGCATGTTGAATTAATTATCCGAATAAGCAGCCTAGGAATTGGTAATGTATGTTCAAGCAATTCCCATTCCATCCATGGTTGGGTAGGCACATTCACTGGCTATCTGTTTAGATCCAGCAGCGGAATTCTGCATTAATCTGCAGCTCTTTGACACAAGCTGTGAAGGCAGATCCTGCCAGGCTGGGTGATTATCCACTGGGTTTATTTTACAAGCTAGAGTGGAGAAAGTCAGCAGTCTACATTAAATAGCTCTTTCACTGCAGCTACCTAGAGCAACTAATGCCTATTTTCAGATAGAGATGTAAATATGTCCGAAAGGGAAAGTTTGCTGTTAATGGCACCCATGTGATGTAGACATTTTAGAAAGCACTGGGAGCAATATATTGTGCAGCATTATCGGGTGAAAGGCTGTTATAGCTAAGCCATTACTACCTGCCTTGCCTTTCCCTCTGACATAGCTAGCTCATCATACCTTAGAAAAAAACATAAATTGCTCAGTGACATATGTATCTTGCTGTAGAATAAATATCCATATGATGAAAAATACAACATGACAACCAAGATGGCTTGAGGTATTGCTGTGAGAAAAAGATGCATAAATGGCATTAAACTGCAACATAAATGGTATTATACAATATTATACAGCTATTGTGCTTACACTTTTTTTTCATTCTTTATTTAAAGTTTTTACATAATATAATTCATCTACACTTAACAAAAAACAAACTTCCATCTGGACAGCTTACCCAACATAGACATTCCATCTTAATATATGAATTTACATAAATATAATAAAAAAATATTGTATAGCATATCTTCTTTTCTTCGACCAGTTTACATTTCATATTTCACATTCTAGTTCCTCCTTTTAATAATAATGGACTTTTCTAATACTTCTTTAATAACTATTTCTTAAAGTGACATTTTTCCCCTCACCCCAACGTTAATTAAAGCACTTACCTTAAATGTCTCTTAATCTGATCTTCTTCTTCTTTCCTGATGTTTTCAGCCTTGTCTCAAGCGCTGCGGCGGTTCTCCGATCCAGCGCTGACTCCTCTGAGCTTGCTGGCACTTCCTGTCCCACTGTGTCTGCATGCGGGTGCACGCGTCAATAGCCTTACCTTGCGTCTCTCCTCGTGTCCCGCCCCAAAATGCTTTGCGGCCGCCCGAGAATTTTCACATTTTCAGATGGGAGCGCGCGGGGAAGACACAGGTAAGTTTAAACCACTGTTAAAGCGTTTTTGGTTTTAGCATATATGTACTGCTTGCTAGCAGTAGATATACTGTATGCAAAAAAAGCTGAGGGTTTAGAAACCCTTTAAGTCCCGTCTAGTTTAGCTTGACTGCCCCCACATATATCTATATACAGTTACAACATACATAAACAAAAACACAAGCAAACAAAAGGAAAGAAAAGGTTTTTTTTTGTATTTGATGGCCTACAGTTCCAAAGAGTGCTAACCATGTAGGCTAACTCATAAAGCCATAGAGCCCTTATTGTTCCCCGTAGCAGAAACACTTTCTTTAGATCTCCTACACCTTTTGTCAGCATTGACACAAAGAATGACACTGATGCCCAGGACCACACTAGCATGCAGTAACACAGGTAGAAATACTGTATGGGAGGCAGCTTTACCACATTTGCTCTCCTGCATTCTGCCACACCGGCTGGCCACTATCTTCATAGAAGTCAAGGCAAAAGGGCATCACTCATCTTCCTGAGTCTGTGGTCTTCAGCCTTCAGTGTGACATACTGTATATCTGTCAGATTTACACTTCATCACTCTCTCTGTCATCACTCATTGCTCTATTATCTTTCTTTCCTTAGAACATCTTTTTGGATCAGGTTTGTTTGGAGTAAAAGACATGTATTTGGGGATGTTTGATGACTCTTTTACTGAAGTTTCTCTCTCTCTTATCCGAGAAACAGGGCACTTCTCCTTTCATTAAAGCAAATACACGGAACTATGGGTACTGCTGCCAGGTGCACTCTATTCAGTGTAGCTCAGGGTACTTTTTTTATGGAGTTGATGGTCATAATCGCCACTATTCACCATTCTGGGAAAACATTACTAGTGTTAATGTACCACCCTAGAACAGGGAAACACCATCACACAGTGGGATAAACTTAATTTTTTCACCACTCACTAGAACATCATACTCCTGCGATTGCTTCTCCCAACTGACCATTACTCTGCTGTCACTTTGCCTCATTTACAGTGCCAGTGTTAAAGCCAACTGCACAGACATCAGGTTGCTGTGCAACTGCGTATGGCTAATGTCATGTTTAGGTTTATTCCAAAAGCGGAAGAGCAATTTTAACTGTTGTTTATTGGACTAGACAGTTTTTTCTTCAATGTTGATATTCCTAAAGTTCCTAAATATTCCTAAACACCAGTGGTCTATGATGTAGTAGGAGATGTACCCTGTGTGATTGCCTTTTGTGCAATGACCGACCGACATGGTCACTGTATCTCACAATGTTTCTGTGATGTTAAATGTACAGTGCACTATTTGCTTGCTGTTATAGATAAAACTACTTGGCATCTCCGTTTTTTTTATTCTCCAAGGGCCCCTTCTCACATTTTCATGAGGTGGCTTGTCCTTTCATTGTACATCTTTGGAATTACTGCCTTTAAAATGACAAAAGCTATATGGTCTGTCTATATTAACAGCATGCCGTCCGCCCATTGTGAAAAAACGGACAGACGGCAAACTCACATGGGTGGGTTGCTGCAATTAGACAGCTTTTTTTTCTGCCCCGTCCGTTCTTTACAGCCGTTACCGGCTGTTTGACATACAACCAATCTGCAGCTCTATAGCCGCCGATCGGTTGTATGTTGTAATTCGCCCCACCTCTGCACCGTCAAGTGCTGCCGCCTGGAGTGCCGCCCCCTCCTAATCCCTCACCTTCAATCCCAGGATCCGTTAGCCCATCTGTGGCCCGGGACCGGCTCGGGAGGACGTAAGGAGGTAAGATGGGAGGGAGATCAGCATCTTCCAACTTGCTGACCTCCCTCCGTAGTGTGAATGCGGAAGTGATGTGTGATACATCACTTTCGCATTCACCTGTCAGTCATCTGGCTGCTATAGCCAGAGAGAAGAAGCTTATTAAGCAGATCTGTGCTTCATCAGCTTCTTTTGGGGTCCCTAGGTGACATTAGAGACCCCTAATGTCTCCATAAAGAAGACCTGTCAGTGTGCCTTTGCTATTATATAGGGGGATTGTTATCCCCCTATGTGATAGCAATAACAATAAGTGTAAAAAAAAAAAAAAAAGTAAAAAATAAATAAAAGTCACATATAAAAAAAGTCCCCCACCCCCACGTTTTCACACATATAAACGTAAATACGGGTTCGATGCGGCAGCACGCAAAAATTACAATTGCGCTACACACATATCACCACGAACGTCGGAGTGAGAGCAATAATTTTAGGGCCATCAAGCACTTTTAAAGCGTCGCCTATGGCCAATTTTAGGTATTGTAGTTTTTTGAGGTTTCTCGCACGCGCGCAATTTTAAGGCTTGACATGTTTCGTGTCTTTTTACCCGACGTGACCCCGCCTTTTATATTTTACCAAAAATTGGGTGATAATGAATGTTTTATAATTTAATATAGGGGAAACAGTTTATTTTGTTTTTCATTCTGTACTTTTTCCTTAATATAGTAAAAAATAAAACCCCCAGTGGTGATTAAATACCACCAAAAGAAAGTTCTACATGTCCCCAAAAAATGGTATAAAATCCATTTCAGTACAGCTTTGCATGACGGAATAAATGTCAGTCAAAATACCGCAACGCTGAATACTGTTAATGGCCTGGACAGGAAGGGGGTTTAACATCGCGGTCTTCAAGTGGTTAAACACCATTCCCATTTCCTGGTACAGATGATAATGGCATTTCTTTAGGTCATGATATTAGATCATTCTGCAAAATCTGTTCACACGCAAAGCAAGTGTGGAAATACAGTTACTATTATATGTCTCTGTTTATGTAGTTCCACATATTCAGATGGCAAGAGTGGGCCCAATTCTGCCATAGACACAGAATTTCAGTTTTTTTAATTCACTCTGGTTAATTTATAATAATTGGAGCAGCGGATAACATTGTGACTCATATATAGCAAACAACAAAGCACTTTCACTTCCTAACCTGTACTGAAAAAATAACAGTAAGTGATTGGATGATAAGGTAATGTCTCTGTTTTTCTTTGCTTCTTATGTTAAGCTGTTATTCTCAAACTGTTATTTTTTACAACAAGTTTCAAACTGACAAGTTGCTATAAGGCAATACAAACAGCTCTTTTTATTAGACACTTAGTAAAGCATTTTGTTTACTACCGCTTTGTTCCTTGCGCATCATGAGATGCATTGCAATGTATTTTGTAAGTAAAATGCATGGGCACTGGAAAAACTATTGTTTATAATACACTCTATTCCCACTAATATATTGATTTCAGCGTAAACAAAAATCTCTGCCTACTGCATTTGGGTGAATTGACTGGCAGTTTGCTATTCAAGTCAATTCTTTAAAATACACAATGCATGACAACAAACATCAGTGCAATGCAGTTTAAACTAACACTAAACTCACAAATTAAATCCAAAAAATGCATTCATTTACCCTAACTATCAACATGCATTCATGTACCTTAACTATCAACAAAAATGTACCCTATTTGTGTATCACTCAGCTGTAGATTCTTAGATCATCTCTGAATTGGTGCTGACACTGTACTTCCTTCTGGAGGGTGGCTACTTTTGTTCCCCATGGTCCCTGTGTGTATTGCATAGTAGCCACCGCCATGATAGACTAGAATTTCAATACAATTCAAGAGTGAGCTTGGAGCAGTGGCTACTTTACAACACACACAGGGACCATGGGGAACAAAAGTAGCCACCCTCCAGAAGGAAGGACAGTGTCAGCACAAATTCAGAGATGATTTGAGGATTTACAGCTGAGTTGTACCTAAATAAGATTTTTGTTAATAGTTAAGGTACTTGAATGCATTTTTAAGATTTAACTCTTAAGTTTAGTGTAACTTTAACTCAAATGGAAAACTTAGTAGTTTAAAGGAGACAGACTGAATTTCTTAACGGTTGGCATTTCTCAGCTGGTATGTGTAACATAGGCCGAAAACATTTATACCATACACAAAGCAGGAAAGTAGGAAATGGGCCCAAAATATCTTTTACTACTATTACCTCCAGCTTAGTGCTTTAAGCTAACTTTGCTGAACCTCTACTAACCTTTTCATGTGTTGGTGGGAATATCCTTACACCAGTGCAACAAAGTGAGGACAATAACTGATAGATAGCCGTAAGCACTGGAAAATAGTAACTGCAGTAGGACCATGGTTGCAACCTAGCTGGTAGTTTACTAGCCTGGCCAATAAAAAGGGCATTTATGGCCAGTGTCAATAATAGGAAAGGGATCACATGATTGGAAAACACTCGTCTTATACACAAGTGTTTTCCAATCATGTGCAAGAAAAAATGCTGTTTTTTTTTTTATTTTATTTTCCTCCACTTGATGGGATATGCTTTGCAAAGTGAATGTAAAGTGAAAATTCCTTTGCAAAGTGAACAGCCTTTTTGTCCTTTGTAAATTAACCAAATTTTCAGCTCCAGTGCATCCATTAAAGAATGATTGTTAATTCTGTAAATAACTCAACCATAATAATAATAATCTAAATTGCTAAATAGCCCAAGGGTGATACATATTTGACAATGCATAAAATAAAAGCAGAAATGTAACTGATTGCAAGAATATTTAATAAATAAACCTCTTTCAACATTTTAAATGCTGTTGAAAAGGTAGAAGGCTTCTTTGTTGCAATATAGTTCTATACTTTATATAGCAATTAAAAAATATATATATTTTGGCTGTTTTTATGAAAAAAAAAAGAAGTTAAATTTGGTCTAAAAATAGCCAGTGGGGGATCTCTATGGGGTCTATTCACAAAGCTGCCGAAGGATCTGGCCGTAGCTTCGCCCGTACAGCTCCCGATCATGGCCGCATATGCATCGGCTCGGCTGAGCCGTGCTGAAAGCCGAAGCTGGCCGAGCGGCCGGCCGCTCGGCCTGCTTCTGACAGCTGGGCGGAGCCAGCCGTGAT